AAGGACCCCCAAAATCTCCGTGCCCTGTTCCCCTTGGACCCCCAGACCCCTCCAGGGGAACCGTAAAACTCTCCCAGAGACCTCCAGGGACCTTGTGGGTTTGGGGTTCCTGGAGAAGATTTGGGGGGTCCAGGGGGCCTAGGGGTTCCTCAGGGTCTGGGGGTCTCCGGGTGGTTTTGGGGGTCTCTGGGTGGTTTGGGTTTCCCTGACTGGTTTTGGGGGGGTCTCTGTGTGGCTTTGGGGTTTCTGGAGGGGTTTGAGGGGTCCAGAGGGTGAGGGCTTCCAGGGGGAATTTGGGGGGTCCCCGAGTGGTTTTTGGGGTCCCAGTGGGGTTCAGGGGTTCCCCATTTTTTCCGTCTCCATTTTAAGGAGAAACACCTTTAATTGCCTGATTTCCCTCCCGGCTCCAGATGGTTTTTCTCAGTCCTGCCCAGGGTTTGGGCCAGAATTTCCCGTTCCCTGGAAATCCCCACTGGGACTCCGGTCGTTCATTTTGGGTAAAAAACAACCGTATTTGGTTCCATCCCTCCTCCCGGGGTCACAGGGGCAGAGGGCTCTGGGGGGGCAGCGATTCTGGGAATCCGGGGGGTCTGTGAGGATCCCTGGAGGTCTCAAGACATCCCTGGGGGTCCCACACCTGTCCCAACATCCCTGAGGGTCCCACACCTGTCGTGACATCCCTGGGAGTCCTACCCCCCTCCCGACGTCTCCTCAGTGACAGGATCCAGCTGCCACTTCCCAAATTCTCTGGAACTCCGGGGTCACTCCCCCTTGGCTCCCCCCCATTCCCGAAATTCTGCCGAATCAGCCGAAATCTGCAGGTTTTGGCCCAAACCCCCAGGTTTTGGCCCAAATCCGCCCCTGGAAGCAGCTCCAGTCGAGACCCGTTTGGGTATAAAAGATGGATTTGGGGCCAAACGCCGTGTCCATAGGATCCCGGGAATTCGGGAGCTCAGGGGCCGGTGAGTGCCTTCATTCCCTGCTTTTCCCTCATTTTCCTCATTTTTGGGGATGTGCAGAAATTTCTGCCCATATTTCAGAGTTTTTCCTTTTTTTCCCCTCAGTTTAGTGACTTTTGCCCCTTCACCCCCCAGAAGTTTCATATTTTTAACCCCTTTTTCATCCCAAATTTTGAATTTTTTAACACTTTCTGTGCCCAAATTTTGGGGGGTTTTGCCCATTTTTCCTCCCCCAAATCTAATTTTTCCCCCTTTTTGTGTCCAAAATTCAGATTTTCACATTCTTTCCCCCCAGTTTTATATTTTTGCCGTTTTTGTGTTCAAATTGGGCATTTTTCACTCTTTTTGTGCACCAAATCAGGATTTTTTGTCCACTTTTTCCAGAAGTTCAGATTTTTTGCCCTCTTAATGCCCAAAATTGGGATTCTTTGAGCTTTTTGAGCCCAAATTAAGGATTGGGGGGGGGTTGGGACAAGGTGGGGAGAGGGTTGTCCTGGCTGTTGAACCCCATTTTGCCCCAAATTTGGGAGATTTGGGGCAAAAACCCCACCATTTTGACCTGAACTTTTGGGATTTTGAACAAAATTCATAATTTTTGGGAGGTTTTGGGGTAAATTTGGTGGAAATAGGGACTCTGAGGTGGCATCAAGGGGAGGTTGAGTGGTGGGAGGGTTGTCCTGGCTTTTTAACCCCATTTTACCACAGTTTTGGAGGATTGTGGGGACAAAATTCATCATTTTTGGGAGGCTTTGGGGTGGATTTTGTGGAAATGGGGACTCTGAGGTGGCCTCAAGGGGTAAAATTGGTGGGGGTGGGTGTGGATGGTTATCCCAGCTCCATTTTGACCCAATTTTGAGGGATTTGGGGAAAAAAAAACCCAACATTTTGCCCCAAATGTGGGGGATTTTGGTTAAAACCCCCATTTTGACCCAATTTTTTTGAACAAAATTCATGGGTTTTGGAGCTTTTGGGGTGGATTTGGTGGCAACAGGGGCCAAAATAAGCCCCAACAGGTTTCCATGGGGTAAAAAAAAGCCATTTTGGGGTAAATTGGGGGTTGTTTGGGTGTTCTGGTGACCCCTCTGGGCTCACATGGATTTTTCCCCCAAAACAGGGATTTCGGGTAATTTTTGGTGATTTTGGGTGTTTTTTGCAGCAATGGCTTGGCGTGGGACCTGGTGGCTCCTCCTTTCCTTCTGTGGTGAGAAAACCTCCCTTTTCCCCCAGAAACCTCCCAAATTTCCTGCATTTTGGGTATATTTTGGAGCTTTTTAGGGCAGAAAATTATTATTTTTAACCAAACCCCCACATTTTTTAGTAATTCTTTACATCCAAGAGCCTTTAGAATCTTCTTTTTTCATGAAAACTCCCTTTATTTTCAGGGAAAAGTGCCCTTTTTTCTCACTATTTACAGAAAAAAGTGCACTTTGTCTTGAATATTTTGGGTTTTGGGTGGGGTTTTTCGAGATAAAAAAAGTATTTGGGTTTTTCCCCACTAAGAAACAAACAAAGAAAAACATCTATTAAAAAAAAAACTTTAAAATCCATTTTTAGAGGGGATTTTAATGAAAAAAGTCCTTTTGTTTGCTCTATTTTACTGAAAGATCAATATTTTTTGAGGAAAAAAATCCCTTTTATTCTGTTTTCCTGATTTTTTTTTCTAATTTTCATGAACCTATTCAACCCTTTCTTTAAATTATTTTTAAAGGAAAATCCCTTTTATTTCCTTAATTTTTTAATTGAGTCCTTTTTTCTTTTTATTGAATTTATTAGGGGAAAAAAAGCTCTTTTGAACTCTGTTTTAGGAAAAAAACCCTTTTAGTCACTGTATTTCAGTTTAAAAAATCATGATGCCGTATTTTGCTGTTGATTTTTCTTCAAAATCCCCCCTTTTAGGAAAAACCCCATTATTTATAATTTATTTCTGAGAAAAAAACCCTTATTCCTGTTTTTTATTCCCAATTTGTCACCCCAAACACCCAAATTCCCAATTGTTTGGGGTTTTTTTTCAGAAAAAAAGACCAAAATCAGCTTTTTTCTCTCAATACCCCCTAAGTCCCTATTTTTTAAATTAAAAAAAATCCTTATCACCCATTTTTATATATAAATATATTAAGGTTTTTTTAAAATCAAATTTTAATCAAATTTTAATCAATTGATTAATTGATTAAAAGGTGATCAATAATCATCTTTTGGGGGGTTTTCTGCCAAGAATCTCTAAAATCCCTTTTTGGTCCTTTTAAAATCCCTGTTCTTTGTGTAGTTTAATTTCATATCTTTCTGTAGATTTATATGGATAAATATTAACTTTTACAAAAGATTTAAAGTGTTAATTGGCTAATAATATTAAATAGTGTAATTGAATAACATTATTACTTATTAATACTTATATCGTTAGATGCTGTGGATATATTAATTTCAAGTTTACACTAAATTAATTTTAAATATACACCACTATAGTTATGTATGGCTATAAGAATAGAAAGTAAATGTAATGTCTATATAAATATAATAATAAATAGATAAATGAAATAATAAATAAATATAATCTCTATGTATGAATATAGTAATAGGAAATAAATATAATCTCTCTTGTATTATATAAAAATATGATATATAAAATTCAGTTATTCTTAATATATCTAAAAATAGCTAATATATGTTTATGTAATATATTGGTATATTAATACAGCAAATTATATCTGTAATTACATCTGGATATTGAGAGATAATTATAAAATGGAATAATATATAAATAGAAATTAAATATGGACAATTTTATATTGTTATACAATGAAATGTGACAGAATTGTACTGGATTATAATATAACATTTTACTCATAATTGTATATAGTTAATTAATAGTAGAGAATACTTATTACGAATTTACAATTTATTTATACATAATAATGATAATAATAATAGTTATTAAAATTGTTTAATAGCTTTCACTTATATGTTATTTATCAACGTAATAACCTGTCAATATAATTTCTACTGTGATTATATATAAAAATAGAGCCTAGAAATTAAAGATAAGGCTGCCATTACACCTTTCATGTCATATAAATACAATTCCTGCTATAATTCTATATTCCATATAATTCTATGTGATAGATATTATGCTATGTAATCCTACATTAAAAACCTATATAACTCTCTATAAAAAATTCTATATGGTTCTATATATTATTCTATATAATTTTCTATGAGAAACCTATGTAATTGTCTTTATTAGGTAGTCTATATCATATCTGTAAAAAAATCTATATAGTTCCCTATAAAACATCTATATAATTCTATATATTAGGTATTATTCCATATAATCTTTTAATAAATTTATGTAATTCTATATAGTAGGTATTATTCAATATAATCCTGCATAAAACCCCCTATATAATTCTATATAGTAGATATTATTCTATATAATTCTACATAAAAAATCTATATAATTCTTTATAATAGATACTATTCTCTATAATCCTACATAAACCCTAAATAATCTGGTACTATTCTATATAATTCTCTCTAAAAATATATAATTCTATATAATATATATTCTATATAATAATCTCTAAAAAAATCTCTCTAATTCTATCCAATATTTATTATTGCATGTAATCCTACATTAAAAAATATCTATAATTCTATATAATAGATATTGTTCTATATAATTCTACTTTAAAAATTATACAATTCTGTATGATATATATTAATCTATATAATTCTCTATCAAATCTATGTAAATCTATATAAACCCCCATGTATAATTCTATATAAAAATCATCCCTCCAATCCCCTATTTCCTCGCTATCCACTGACCCAGGAGCCCCTTTCCCTGTTTTCCCAGCTCTCTCCAGCTGCAGCTCGGGGGGTCGGGAATTCCTGGCTGTGTTCCCCCAGAATGACGATGAGTCCCCGAGTGCAACACTGAAGCTGCTGCTCACCCGGCAGGGCCCCAGTGACACGGTGGCCTCGGTGACACTGCACAGTCCCTTCGGCACCC